TTTTTTTTTTTTTTTTTTTTGTAATTTCTCTCTAGATAATATTCATGCCTATAGGGGTGGGGTATTATTTTACTCCTAAGACCTTCGGTAGAGGAGATACCCTACCTTTCCTTGATTTTATAACTCTATGTCAATGAAATTAAAGAGAATTCTTATGAGTAGAGATGAAAATGACCATCTTTTAATCTTTTCCATCCTGTATATCTAAATAGATTTCTCTTATTATTTCAGGCTGCTCTTGATATGCCTGTTCAATGTTCTAGTATTAACAATAACTCGGACTCCTTTGGTGAAGTGCATTGTGATTCAAATGATACACGTGGAGATAGAAATTCATGTGAACTTAAACTATCTCCGTTGGAAGAGGACAATCCGTCCAAAGATGCAGCTCTAAATTCTGCTGCTAATTCATTAAATAGAGTGTTCAAAGAAGTCTGTACAAATGAAGGTTGTGCTTTTAGTGAAGATTTCAATGAATTACCAGCTCCTGGTCTCGAGGAAAATTCTACCTTTCTCATTCCATCTCTTGCTTGTAAATTTCGTCCTTCAAGCTCAAATAAGTGTTCTCCTAAGATTGAGGGGTACATTATGCTTGCAATATGCAGACAGAAACTGCACGATGTTGTTCTTAAGGAATGGACATCATCATACAAAGATGATCTTCTTCGCCAGTTTATTACATCATGGATTGCATCGAAGAAACATTGCAATCCTAATGGAATTGTGGTATGTTTTGATTTGATTTTTGTTCTTGCATCAAAATCTCTCAAAAGAGAGCTGCGTCTTCATTTGCATGTCTAGTTAGTTTCTTTGGGTGTTCTGCTGACATATTTGAAATTCCTCTTATTTACATTAGGAAGGAGCATGTGAAGCCTCTAAAGTACCAGACAAATTAAGGGAAGGATCAAAACGCTTCTTGGAATCTTCTCTTGCAGCTGGTAATTATACTTATTACCGGAAGAAATCATCAAAGAAGAAGTTAGGATCTTCAGATTATGCTACTGAGGGTAGCTCTGTTGTACGAAATCAGCCTTCTGAAAATTCTAAGAAAGAAAAAGTTTCTGCTGATTTGTGTGAGACTACAGACACTGAGATTGCTTCTTTGTCACTGAAAAACATTACAAAAAGTAAAAGGCAGAAGGACTTGTCTCGCAATACCACCTGCAAACGGACTTCTGCAGAAGTTACGTTATCCAGTAGCCATTCTTCTGGGAAAACCATATGTGGCACCAAAAAATTAAAAATTTCACCTATAGTTAAAGGTATACCATTTCTGTTAAGATCTTACCTTGCAAATGTTTTTGATGATTCCACTTGCATGATTGCTCACTTGTCCTCTATTTAGATGATAATGTCAACAAGGATTCCATGAAACATGGGAAAGGGAGAATGATAGGTTCGCCTTTGGTGCACAAAAATGTTGATAAGGTTATGAATAAATGTGATCATGGAGTTAGTGCCCGGGAAAGGCTTTGTAAGGGTCTCTCTTAACACTTTGTTTTTATTGATATTATTTTTCTACTTTCATATTTGTTTCTTAGTATCTATTTCATTGTTATTATCTTCTTTGATTCTTTTTTTTTTCCTCTCAAGTTCTTTTACTTGTTTGTTTTGTTTGCAGCTGTGAATGTGTCAAAATTGAAGAGGAAACAGAAGGTTGACGAGTTATCATTTTCTCGTAATAAGGTCTCGGCAATAGCAGGTGATGTTAGCAAGCAAGCAGCAAGAAAGAAGGTTGTAGCTCCGAAGGAAAAGTCTGATAAATCTAGGAAGTTAAACCTCTGTATTAGATCTAATGGTTGTGCCCGTTCATCAATTAATGGATGGGAATGGCGTAGATGGACTCTAAAAGCCAGTCCTGCTGAGAGAGCTCGTAATAGGGGTATTCAATATTTCAATTCTGAGCTAGTAGGACCTGATGTCACTACATCTCATTTGTTAAATGGCAAAGGCCTTTCTGCACGAACAAATAGGGTGAAGGTGCGGAATCTTCTTGCTGCTGCAGATGGTGCCGATCTTTTAAAAGCATCTCAATTAAAGGTATCAAAGAGTTTGTTTGCCATGGAGTACTTCATTCCCCCTTTAAATATTATACCATATTATACCATATTCAAACTTGAAGCATGAGTCTAGCTTATTAATACGTTCTCATAAATTTAGGCAAGAAAAAAACGCCTACGCTTTCAACGTAGTAAGATTCATGACTGGGGTCTAGTTGCCCTAGAGCCAATTGAAGCAGAGGATTTTGTAATTGAATACGTTGGGGAACTAATTCGTCCTCGGGTAAATATCTCTTCTTCTTAATCAGTTATTCTGAGAATTTTTTTTATTTCTTGATTTGGAAGTGGCTTTATGCTTTGTCATTATGATGAAGTAAATGAATTGATTTGACAGATATCGGATATAAGGGAACGCCAGTATGAGAAGATGGGAATTGGAAGCAGTTATCTTTTTAGACTTGATGATGGTTATGTGGTCAGTATATAACAAATTTGCAACCTTTCTCCTAATTTATTTATGCAGTAAAATCTATAATTACCAAAAAAAAAAAAAAAAAAAAACTTGCATCCTGTTTCTATGCTTTTCATGCACCATTCCACTTTTGGAATCAGTGTAGATGGTTGTTGACAACCTTACTTGAACAGGATTTATACTGTGACATTGAGTTTTGTAAGTGTAGATGTTTGATGATTTCTCTTTCAATGTGATATTCTTTTTGTTCTATGTAATCTGGCCCCTGCCCTTCTGCTTTCCTGCAAATCTTGAATGGTAATTTTTCTTTCAATAAATTTTGTTAGGTTGATGCTACAAAGCGTGGGGGTGTTGCACGATTTATAAACCATTCTTGTGATGTAAGTTTAGAACTAATGTGATTTTCCTTTATCAAGAATGCTGTTTTCCTACCTCATGTAGATCTTGTTTGCAGCCTAATTGCTACACCAAAGTTATTACTGTTGAAGGCCAGAAGAAAATTTTCATCTATGCAAAACGACATATATCTGCTGGTGAAGAAATTACGTACAATTACAAATTTCCTTTGGAGGAGAAGAAAATTCCTTGTAATTGCCGTTCAAGGAGGTGGTTTAACAATATGTTTCTTTTTTTAAAATTAATGTACTGCTATCTGTGTAAATTTGTTGCTTCCAGATAAAAAGGCCCGTGAATTTTCCTATTATCACCTATGCAGAAGTTGTCTTTCCTCGAGTTTTGACAACCATTTTAGAAGCTTCTATTCTGGGCTTGAATGAATCCTTTTAAGTTTCTCATATCTATAATGATTCTATTATATCATGTTTTCTTCCCTTTCTTTTCAGGTGTCGTGGATCACTAAACTAGGAAATTTTGTTGCACTTTCCAGGTATACATCATGGTTATGGTTCATATGGATGTTTTTACTTAATGTCACATGACTCTTTCACTTGCACTCCACTATTTGTCTACTCTTGTCTAATGATCTCTCCCTCTCATATTGAAGAAATGTGTGATGTATGTTTTTAGGGTCTTGTTTTGACTCTTATGTTCTTATTTAGGATGTCTCCATTATAAAGATGCTACATGGTTTGGTTATAATCCTGATGCCTTCTTACTGCTACCATGAAATATTAGAAAGTGGATGTGGCATTATCACCTCCAAGATTTGAGGTCATACATTTTGCAATTAATTATTGTCCATCAAGATGGCAGTGCCTGTTGAATTTCCTTTGTATTAAGTAGGAAAAAGAAGTAATACATGCTAGATTGCTGAACTGAATTGTTACCTCATTACTGCCAAACAAGGATGTTGAATTCTTGTTGTTGGTTTTTTGTCCCAAGGAATTTTCTTCCTAGGGTTTTTGAATGACCTGGCCACATAATGGCATATTTCTGATGACGTTTCTGAGTGCAAGGTACATTTCTCAATTGCTTGAGGGTGAGAATTGACATGGTGACATCACCTTAGGGAAGTGAGATGTGCACAAGTAAATTATTAAAACTATATGTAGGAGTAATTTGAAAAGAAGAATCGCATGGTCATTTAACATAGAAATATTAAACATGAATATTTATCCATGAAAAGAAGTGAGGTGTACACAAATAAATTGTTAAAACTATATATTGGAGTAATTTGAAAAGAAGAATAGCATGGTCACTTAACGTAGAAATATTAAACACATATTTATACATGAAAATATGTTCTCATGAAAAAAGCTTTTATTTATTATTATTTTTTTTAATGTTCAATATCTCTGTCCAGTAGTTGTAACTCACAACTAACATCGAGATATTTTCTTCCCTCCACTAATCTTTTGTCTATGAAATTTGTGTCGGAGGCTTTTTTCCTTATTTTCTCGGGAGATTCTATTTCATATAACTTTAATTTCTGGTGCCCTTCTTGTATCTGGCCTCTGATTTGTTGTTACTTTATTTTCTGATAAGTTTTTGTTGTTGGCTATCGAACAGAGATATGCATTTCTCTCTTTCATGCGGCTGTTGTTTTTTTTTTTTTTTTTTTTTTTTTTTTTTTTTTTTTTTTTTTTTTTTT